AAATAGTACTGTACTTGAAATCCATTACAAAAAGGAGGAAGGGAGGTAATGGTAGGTATTTTCCAGGAAGGAAGGAACCATGCCCTCAGCTTGTCATTCTTTTGTCCTCTTCCAGGTTTTGTGTTTGTCTCTGCAAAATTTTTATGCCTGAATATCCACATAGCATATTCTTATTTCAAAAGTAGATTTTGTACAGTTTTTGATTTTATAAATTTTTTTCTCTGCTCTTTGCAATAAACTCCTGAAGTGCACACATTTGCCTCTGCCTTTCTGATCAGACATGCCAGGCTTATGAATGCAAGTAGGCCTTTGCAACTTCTTCATATGGTTCCAGGTGGACAAGAAATGCCAGAACAATCCCATTATCACATTTATCACATTGTGGGAGAACTATGAGGCTTGGGTTCATCTATCAGTCTCAGCCTTTATTTTCACCATGGTTTGTTGAGTAAGCCACATTAGTGTTTACACTTTGTGATAGCCCAAAAACAGTTTTTACAAAGTATAATGATTAGTTCACACAAGAGTGCTATGCAACATGGAATCAACCACACTGTAGCATATTGACCCACTGGATCTTTCTGCTTGATTCCCATTAAAGGATTAGACTGGACACAAATTATCAAACTATATAGTTTGCATTTTTTAAAGTCTGGAAATGTTTAAGTTCAATTTTTGCAAATATAAAATGATTGCAACATTATTACTTTTTGTTAATATTGCTGGAGTGTACATGGAGTTTGGAAAATCTAATAGGGAGCTTTGAGTTGACTCAGTTTCTTATGCGTACTCTTAAGTGGAATAGAACATTGTTTTAAAAAGCATCAAGAATGTAACACATTAGCACAGATAGCTAGAACTGACTCAGTATGTTCTTTGCAGAACCAACCCGGATAACACTGGCACCATCAAATATGGATGTGACTGTAGGAGAAAGTGTAATTTTACCCTGCCAAGTTCAGCATGACCCACTGCTGGATATAAGTTTCACATGGTATTTTAATAGTGCATTGACTGACTTCAGAAAAGATGCATCTCATTTTGAGAGAGTGGGTGGGGTAAGTTATAATGTAATTGTGACATTTTGCTTTATTATTAGAAATCCAATCATGTTGAAAGAGAAAAAATGAGAGCTTTATATTCCTCTTTAGATGATATTCTGTCGACTATCATTATCATATAGCCTTATGACTATAGCTTTGTAGTTAAATAAATGATGATAGCATGGAGCTTATTTATATTGCTGATTGTTTCAAACAGTGGATGAATATTTGCAAAATAAAAAGATTTTTTAAAAAAAAAAAACACCTCATTTTTATTGTTTTAAGCAGCCTGTACACTGGTAGAATATTTCTGTGCCAATAACTACTGCCTACTAAACAAAAGAAGTTCAGAAATGAAAGAAGCCGCATTTTTTGAAAATGTTCACATAACCCAATTTGAAAAATTGCTCACAAAATGTAGGTGATTTGCATGGGTACCCAGTTAAAAATATATTGGCAGGTGGGAGCTGAAAGAAGGGCAGTCAGGGATGATACAAATCACTAGTAATGTCTGCTGGGTAGTCAAAATCTGCATGATAGCAGACTCTGGCGAATGCTCTCATCTCTCTTCTATCAATTCTCATCCACCTTTGTGGATTTTTTTTTTAAACAGCTATGTTCACACATATTCATGGAAAACGAGTTGATTGGAAAAGAGGTAAAAGAGAGTAGATCTTATTTTGTTTTTCAGAAAACTGCAGATGCAACACAGGCAGAGAAAAACAATAGCATTTCAAATAGTACTGTACTTATTCTGGATAGTATGGTAGGGGCTCTTGAAATTTTGCTCAGTCTGCTCCAAGTGCCCTTGCATACAGAGAGCAGGCCTTTTTGTCTACAACCCCAAATAATTTCCCAGAGAGCTGTGCACATTGCCAGTGATGTTCAAGTAGGCAAATGGTTTCTATTTTCACAGCTCTGTTAGTCCTCATTATGGCCTCTAATTGCTTTGTTATGACTTAAGGAGGTTTTATTTCCATGAGGTTTTTTAAATTGTCGTCTTGTGATTTTTTAGTTTTCTGCTTTTAAGTATCACTGTTATTTATTGTTTGTTTGTTTAGATATTGAGTAGTAAAAATCTTAGAAATGATGGATTACCCATCATCTACTAATTTCCATAGGGTCCAACAGTATAAGGCTCAGATTATGCCAGATGGCTACCAAGACTCCCTGAATTATTAACATTGCAGTTATCATTTCAGAAAGACTAACGTCAGCTGAAATTGTGCAGATATCAGTATTATAAATGGTTACAATGCTATTACTTGTTTAATTCTACCCAGCCTGTTGACAATTTGTGTTCTATGGGTCAGCAAACTGCTCATCAGGAAAGGTGACCTTCCTGTCACTGTAAACTATCCACAGCAGCACAGATCTAATTTTGCTAGTTGAAGCTGTGAATGAAATCTCTTCTACTGCCAAGACTACATGAAACATTGACAGTTTCAGAGCTTTCTTTTTCTGCTTTCATAGCATCCAAGACTGATTTACATGGATTGTAAAAACTTTGGTAGCATATTCTTGGTAATACGATGAATTATTAGGATTACAATTCAAGTTAAATACACATGGACACCCTCTGCAGCATTTTATGGTTTACTATAATTATATATGGTATGGATTTTTCTATTTGCATCAAAGAAGTACTCAGACTTTTATTTAAAGCAAAATTATTCTCTTTGACAGTCCCACTAGTAAGTTAATACTCTGAATATTTAGAACAAGATTAATTTAGCTGTGCTGAAAGAGATACTAAATATGGGAAGTATTATACATATATTTCCCATCCTGTGTTTTCTGTCTTGAAGATTTTTTTTACAGTGTCATTTCCTGCTTGATGTGAGAATTTACATGCTTGACCCCAATCTTCTCAAACTTTTTGTACAGTAAGAAGAATGTGAACTTTCTTTGTTTAGGTTTTGTAAAGGAATAGCCAATCACATCCATTCAGTTATGACAAACTAATTGATTGGCTGATGATATTTTATATTGAAAATACAACTTAGGGTTTAAAATATTCATACTGAATAATGTGTGTTTCCTGACAGCAAACTGTATGCCCTATTGAATATATGGACTAAATTTAAGCGGGACATAGGGAAATAGGGTTTATTCTAGGATGTGTGTTAAAAGCATAGTAGAACATGAAATGTGATTGCAAACTGTGGAAACACTTCTCTAAAATTAGGTCAATAACTCAATCATGCAAAAATATTTTCATGCTCATTATGAAAAAAGGAAAATGGCATCACTGATATTTGATCCCTAGTACATGAACCAAGGTGTTACATTTAAGAGTCTTAATTTGAAGATAAAGACACAAATAGTGAAACATTGCCAAATAAAAAGTGTAAAATAACAGGCAGGAGTTTTGGACACCATATATTCAGAAAAGCTCAAGTGCTAAGATAATGTATCTACTTTTTAATTAGGTTTTTCCATTTTTATAACCAGCATCTAGCTAGTTGCATATGTACTTTGTCCTGCTGGGAACTGTAAGATATTCTGCACTTCATCTGTATATCCATTATCTTCAGGTCCACGCTTCAAATGATCGTAAACCAAACTATGTCTCTTCTAGGAATTCTCTCCCACTGCAGCTAGCATTGCAGTTCACATCATGGTCAACCATCCATTTGATTTTCTTTCATGGTTAAACTCCAGAAATCAGCTACAAGATGATCACATATGACTCTGAGCTAGTCTACAACAAAGACAATACTTTTGGTTCACCCTTAAAGAAGTTTTGAATGAAGTATTTTTCATGGTATTTTTCTTTGCTATTAAACTCATAAATGTTTCTTGTGTAGCCTTAGAACAGAAAATACACACATCCTTTAAAAAAAATCTGTCCAAATGTGGATTATATTTTTAACTCCATTTATTTACTATTAATATCATTGCAGCATAAAAAAAATCTAAATAGACTACTGATAGTTGTCTCATGTAATTCTCATTTGATGATTATCTTTTTTATATACAAATTTGTTGAAAAAATGCTTAGATAGATAAAAGATAAACATGAAAATATATATAGAAAAGTTAGAAAAAGAAAAAAGAAAAAGTAAAGAAAGTACAGTTAAAGAAAGTTTTAAAAAGTGAATTAAAGAAGCAACTTCCAGTTTTCTTTGCAGTGGTTACAAATAAAATTATTATTCCTCCTTCCTCATTCAGATTACATTACAGAAATCTTTTATATCCCACATTCAACCCCTTTTTCAATCAGCAAATCCATAGATCACCATTTCACTTTTTTTCCATGTTCAGCAAAAAGTTCATAAAAGGTTTCCAGTCTTTCATAAAAGTACTTGTAGTTTTGTCCCTGACCAAACAGGTCAGTTTTGCCATTTCTGCTAATTCTGTCATCTTTACAATCCATTCCTCCATTGTGAGTATTTCTCACAATGATTTCTCCATTGTTGTGCAGCTGCAGTTACCATATATAAAATCAATCTTCCATAAGTCTTTTCTAAGTTATTATCCATAAGTCCCAATAAGAAAAATTCTGGATTCATCTCAGTATTTACCATTAAAATTCTTTGTATCAGCATATGTTTTGTTTTTTTGGTTTTTCACAAGTCCACCATGCATGGTAAAATGTCCTTTCATTTTTTTCACATTTCCAACATTGACTGGAATATATTGACTTTATATATTTTAGATAATTTCTCTGGTGTCATATGCCCACGGTACATAATTTTATAAAAAAAATCTCTTAAATTATAACACAGTGTGAATTTAAATCCTTTTACCCACATTCTCTCCCATTGACCCATCTATATGTTATAAGCAAAATTCTTAGCCCATTTTATCATGCAGTCTTGAATTTGTTCTTTTTTCATTTCAAATCTCAACAAAAGTTTATACATTTTTGCAATCACATGTTCATCATTTGTACATAGCTCAGTTTCAAATTCCATTTTATATTGTTCAGTTCCAGTTACCTTTTCATCTATATTAAATATTTCTCTTAATTGTGCATATAAAAACCATTGAAAACGAAATCCCTCTGCAGTCAGTTGTTCTCTTGACTTCATCTTAAGTTCTCCATGTTCCTCTAGTAACAAATCTTGATACATTAACCATTTTTCTTTGCCCGCTGTTTATTTTCTATCAAATGCTTCTTGTACTAAGACCAATAAATGGTGTGTATTTAGTACATATTCTTAATATGGCACTTCTCATACAATGATTTTTAAAATCTATATTAACTTTTAACTTTCTTGTACCATAAAAAGCCATGCCAACCAATACCTCAGGTTATGTTCTTCTAATTCTAACATTCTCTTGTTTCTCAGCAACACCCATTCTTTCATCCAAACTAAACAGCAGGCTGCAAAATACTATCACTTGGTGATTATCTTATTGGGGGGGGTGTGTTGATACCAGTAGATTGTTGGTGCATCTAAAGTGTAATACCTTGAATCATAACATTTGAGAATATTCCTGTGCTTAAGAAAGAGAAAGTTTTGCAGATTTGAAAAATAAGAAAGAGGATGGGGGAAGGAGACTTATCTATCTTCTCATCTATCATGAGCTAATCCTTTAAGAGGCCTTTAATTATATAGTCTCCAGTTATTTGGATTTGTTTTTCCTTTCCAAGATTAGCTTGGGTTATAAGATACATTTATGTGTTCAGAGGTTGCTTCTATCTTTGTTCTGAGAAAATATTACAAAATGTAATTAGTTTCAATAATATATCTTTTGAGTTAGTCAAAGTGTGTATGGCAAAATGATTAACTGGAGGAAATACCCATAGAACAGTATCAGCCTTTTTTATATCAGAGGAAATTTACGTTCAAATTTGCATGATTTTCAGCATTGTTCTTCAAAATATTTAAGAATAAAAATAATTAACTGATTCATAATTTGCATTTGTCCAGTTCAGGATTAACTATATCTACTATGATAAATTCAAAGCTGTAATGTGAATGATAAAAGTACCATAAAGTTAAGTTCTAGGTTCCAGTAAAATTAAAGTTCTTAGAAAATGGGCCACATTATGGTCATAATATAATCAGATGGCAGACCAAAGATTAAATTGTTCAAAACAAAATGAAGAAGCATTTCCTGGGGTAACAAAGGAGCCATTTCCTCATAACTGAAATGTATTTGCATTAACCAGAGCTAAAGCTGGTCAAGGCAAATCATAGGCATTTGTGTATGTTTTATCCCTTAGTACCTTGACAGACTGATCAATAGCTTCAGTGATCCTTAGAGCAATAAAGGTCAATAGCTTCAATGATCCTTATGAGCTCCTGCTTGGTCATTTTTGCTGATAAGGTCAGAAGAAAAGAAAAATAAAATGAGAACTGCAGTGGGTGTGTTGGAAGCCAATCCATGTACAAGAAGGAATCCAAAAACTCAGAAGAAGGCAATAAGAAACTACTTCTATATTGTTGTCAAAAAAGCATTATGGGCATAGCTAAAACAATTAAATGACCTGGATGTCAAATATTGGTGCCCAGGTCAGAAGGTATGTTGTCTGCAGTTGGGGAAAAGTGTTGACCTTTCATGAGTACATCTGGAAGTGATGATGTGGCCAGACCACTGTTGCAAGGAAGTCTGGTTGCTAATGATGCCAATATTAAAATGGGGAGGGAGGGAGGGGCAAAGCAGAAATGAATTGAACTAAACTGAATGTTTTGGATATATGTGAACATGGATGGACAGGAATGGGGTGCTTTAAATCAGATTGTTACTGTTAAGGATATGAGACCATATTAAGGTATGGAGTAGCAAACATAAAAATGACATTGCTAAGTAGTTGTCCACAACTCATAAGTAACAGAATCAAAGTAGTTGTCTACAACTCATAAATAACAGAATCATACCTACTAAAATTGATGGCTGTTCACTGAGAATCAGTGTTATACAATTGTATACTCTGATTATAGATCCAGTGGTTGAAGACTGAATGATTCTGTGACAGATTGCAGGAGGCAATCTAGAAATGTAGTACTTCTACCACCCACTACTAATGGCTGATTACAGTGAAAAGTTGGAGAAAGATGCATCTCTAATTATAGGAAGATTTCAATCAGATAAATATAAAGACAGGAGAATGTAATACTCTGAGTTTTGCAGAGAGAATTATTTATTTGCTGCTAACTGGCTTAAATAAACGTGAATGCAGACTCTACACCTAAACGTCACAGGAAGGACAACAGTAGAATCAAATTAATTACACATTAAAATATAGACGATGGAAAGGTTCAGTCTAAGTCAGCCAGGATATCTCCAAGTCCAAATTATGAACAAACTATGAATTGTTGGTATCAAATATACTGATTAAAATGACAGAGGAAATGTGCCATCAAGATTTCATTTGGAGGACATACAGTTAACATAAGATCAGAGTAAGAAATGGATTTAGTTTATTTAACTTGTGTGAAAGAGACCTGAGGAACTATGGGAAGAAATAGACACTGTAAAAAAAAGAAACAAAGTGAGAAAAAAAAATCTCAAAATTTCAGAGAGAAAAAGATGCAGGTCAGTTTTGAAACAACCTCTCATGATGGCCAGTGAAAGAAAAGATGAAAGCCTTGTACATTGCCAAAAAATGTAAAACAACCAAACCTAGATGTGGTGAGAAGGGCCTTGTAAGATCAAAAAGAGGTGAAACTAGAATAAAATGCTATATAGAGTTTGTAGTTTATGTGAAAATAAAGTATGAATGGTAGTTAGAGATAGAAAGTAAACAATAGGATTCCAGTAGTTAGGAAGTTGTAGGAAGATTAATAAAATAGACATACAGCTAGAATAGATTTGAAAGATTAAGAGAGCCTATAGAAATACTGTAGGAAGCATGAAAGTAATAGGTAGTTTTTCTGTTGTAATAACAGCAACATTTTAATAGCAAAACCACTATCTTGAAGAAATATGTGCCCTGTTTGAGGTGTGTATCATCCCTGAACTTGTGACACCTTTCCCAGATGGTTTTGCAAAGTTGCAGAAAGGGGCTTCAAGATGCCATACCCAAGGTCCTTCAACACATAGACAAGCCATTTGTCTGGTTCTGGACACTTAAACTTGTCTAAGCATCTTTTATCTTGGCTTGCCTCTACTTCCATTAGTTGTTCTACTTTGCTCCAGTTCCCTCTGGGGAGAAGATCAAAGTAAAATAGGAGTTGAGGGGCCTTGCCTAGATGCCATGACCTGTTATTGTCCTACTATCTTTTTCTAGCAAGGGACCCATCCTTTCCTTTTTCTTTCTTTTATTACCAATATAGTGGGAAAAGCTTTTTTGATTGGCTTTAGCTTCATTTAGTGCTTTAGTCTTCTTTCTGCAGATGTTAGCTGGCATACCTCCTTGGTGATTACACCCATCTTCCATTTCCTAAACACATCCCCTTTTGTTCTTAATTCAGTTGAAACTCCCACTGCATCCACAGCAGCTTCCTGAGGTGTGCCCTCCCCTTTTCCTCTCATTAGAAAGAGAAGTATCCAATTATCTTTGGTATCTAGTTTTGGAGAATTTTGACCTGAGCATTTCTTTCCATGCAACCCCAGTTGGTACTCCTCTAAAGCTTTCTCAGTCTAAGGTACAGGTATGACTGTGCTCCAGTTTCTCTAGTTTTCTCCTGGAAAATGGCACAGATTCCAGGAAAAAATACAACAAAATAACCTTTTTGCCTTTCAATTCAGAAGTACTGCACAGTCATATTGCCTATCAATTATCACATTATTACTTATCACATTATTATTTATCACATCATTTTTATCTCATTATCACTTATCACATTATCACTTATCACATTATTATTTTCTGCTTGAAGTCTCATCTTCTACTCCATTCTCTCTTTATCTGAGAAAAAAACTGTCTTGAAATTGATGAGTTCAAGCATATTGTAACTGAAGCTAATTGTTATCATTTTTTACTCCTCTCAACAGAGTGCATCTGGAGACTTAATGATTAGGAATATCCAGCTGAAACACAGTGGAAAATATGTGTGCACAGTGAAGACTGACGTGGATAGTGTATCATCTGCAGCAGATCTTATCGTGCGAGGTATTTTTTTTTTTTCTAAGGAATGCCATTTGTAAGGGTTTATGGCTGATTTTTCGAGTAAATCATGAGAATGAACCTCTTTTCTTCTGGGCATCTTTCTGAGCGAACTAAGCAAATTAACTACAATATATGTAACAAACATACAACGCCATATATGTGTTTGTGTGAATGAATGCAAGTAATGAAAACATAGCAGCTTGTTTTAGTGGAGATGCCAGCTGCCTTCTTCTCCTTAATAGCGAACCAAAAACATTAAGGAATTGTAAAAATAGAAATTAATTTAATCACAGGTGCTCAGAACTTGTATTTTGAGTACTTTCTAGTGAAGAAGCATGTAAAACAAGACTTTCTGGTTCTATAGGACTGAAGGAGCCGCTATTAAAAATTTGCCTTAATGAACTGTACTTCCACTCAAATGAGGTGGAGCATCCAGTGTTCAAAACTGCCAATTCATATCATTGTTCTCAGCATTATAAGCCATCCTCAGGGAACCTTTTAGTATGCATGGGGAACTGCAATTAAATAGGAGATTGGTGAATAATATGTTCCCTGGCTTGTAAAATAGCATTTTATACTAGTGCAAAGCCATCATTGGTTACCACATAATACCTTCCATTCAGCATTATTTTGGTACTGTTAGCACTTATTAATGCTTCCATTTCTTAATATAATTGTCCCAAGAAAATTTGAGATAATTGAAATTACGATTGTATATATAAATACCACTTGGCATCTTCAGTGTCAACAAATGAGCTGTATGGAAAACCAGTCATCACCAATTAACTCTACATTTGATTCACCTTGCTTTCTTACAGACACAATGCTTAGTCTTCAGGTAAAAATAGTATTTGCACCGTCAGACTACCTGCATGTCTGAATTAATTTTGCAAGCTTTCTCACTCAGGCATGAGTATTCAGAATGGAGCAATATTTTAAAAGATGGTCTCCATGTCCAACTTGAAACTGATAATGCCATTATAGTAATAATTTGTAGTGTGTTTTATTTATTTATTTATTTAGTTACTTATTTACTTACTTATTTATTTAGTAGACTTGTCCCCGCCCATCTCCCCACAATGGGGAGTTTTCCAGTATAGACATTAAAATATTTTTAAAGTTTGAAGATACAAATATAAAACCAATCCATCTCTATTTATAATAACTAAAAAGAACATGACTTGGAGAATGTGTTAAGTGTGAACTTTCCAACCATAGGAAATTATTGTTTTTCAAAGGGGCTTTAATTTGCTCTTCTCTCAAGGACCCTTCTCCTCAAGCACCTTTGCAAATGGGAAAAACGTCAAGATTTTCTAGAAAGCTGCAGAGTCCCTAGTGCTGCATTGCTGTCCATGGTGCTGATGTTGTGTTAAGCATCACAGCAAAACTGCTTTAGATAACAACTTGTCAAGCCAAAACAGTGACAGATTCAGGACAGGACATCAAGGACTATAAATTAAAAGACACAATTTAAAGGTAGAGAAATCTGAATAAAGATTTCAGAAAGAGTGCATAATCTATTATTGTGTTATTGAATTCATATTTTAGAGCTTGCTTTTATTGCTATAAAATAACAAAACAATGGTTCAGTGAATGTAAAAAAAGTCTTTTATTGCCATATAAATTGATTTATTCTTTTACAATGGTGGAAGAATAAAAATCAGTGCTATGGGTTAGTGATTTGTAATGTATATGTTTACAACATACTTTAAAACGTGGTATCTTACTGCATTAGGTTCACCTGGACCACCAGAGCATGTAAAAGTGGATGAAATAACAGCTACTACAGCTCAAGTTTCTTGGTATGAGGGCTTAGATAATCACAGCCCAATCACTGGTTATACTGTCCAGGCCAGGACACCATTTTCAGTAGGCTGGCAAAGAGTCAAAACAGGTAAAATTTATAACTATCCTTAAATATTTTATAACCCTTGGAAAAATGAGAACTTCATAATTTCTTCCAAAATGTTTTATGACAGTTCCTGATGGCATTGATGGGAGAACATTCACCGCTACTGCAGTAGACTTAAATCCTTGGGTTGAATATGAATTTCGTGTAGTTGCCAGTAACAAAATTGGAGGTGGAGAACCTAGTTTACCCTCAGAAAAAGTAAGAACTGAAGAGGCAGGTTAGTGGTCTCTTTGTTTGCTTGTTTCCTTTGATAATTTCAGCACAGCAAAGTTCAAACTGGGTCTTTATTGTTTGCAACTCTTGTATGTTCCTACCCCACTACCCCATCTGTCTCAAGAGACGGGAGAACACATCACTCAGCATCTATCAGACCCTTAATATTTTGACTGTGTATGCAAGGACAAGCAGTAAAATTATATTAATTTAAACAAACAAAAAAGGGAGATTGAATAATCTAGGGTTGCTATGCTAATGAGATTCAGTCAACCCAGTGTCACCTAACCTTTAGAGAAAAAAATAATCTTTCCCTAAGAGAATGGCTTTAGCACAGCTGGCACAGTGAATGTTTTGCTTTGGGCACCATTGAACACCTTTAGATGAGGTGTAGCAGAGTGAATGTACCTTGAACCCTCCCATCATAAGATAAGGGGAAACTAATTTCAGTCACCACAGGTTGGAGATTACTAGAGCAGGTTACTAAGTAGCCTTGTTTGATGTTCAGGTCTGGAATATTAGCGAAAAGAAAAAAACTTGCATGAGAATAAGTAAATTATTCTGTATTGCAGCTCTGTTGCTAAAGTTTAGAAAAATAAAATTAAATGTGGATACAAGATCAGAGTTTAGTTCACAATAGTAAAAAAACTCCTATTTTTACAATTAGTTAAGGAGTAAGAAAATAAAGGAGGTCTGTGAGATTATTGAACAGAAGTGTTATACAGGAATTTACTATATAAAAATATGATTTTTTTTTCTTTTGAATTTCTAAGAATGCCTACATTGCTTGTGTGGCTTGCATAGTCTGTTTTGTCATATATGTGCATACGTATATTCTCTCTTTATTTGCGGGATGACATAATACTCTTAATCACCCTAAACTGATGCATGACTTGTTCTAGTTGCTTCATGTAGATGTCCAATAAGGAGGGGGGAGGACTAAGCCCCATGGCACCCCACAATTAGTGACCCCTGAGCTGATCTCTCCTCGCCTATAACTACCAATTGAAATTGGCCACTAAAGAAGTACAGTACTGGAAACAGTGCCTCTAATCCCCAGCTCCTGCAGGTGGTCAAATATGTATGTATGTATGTACGTATGTATGTACGTACCACTTTACTCAGTGCTGCTGAAAGGTTCAGAAGCAGTATCTTGCCTGTCTGCCCCTCCCCCATCTTAACAAAGGTAATCAGCATATAAGTGTTACGGATATAATGCTTGTTTCTTCTTCATAGTTCCAGAAGTACCACCATCAGAAGTAAGTGGAGGAGGAGGCAGCAGGTCTGAACTGGTCATAACATGGGATGTAAGTGCTCTTCTTGGATCTTTTTCCCCCAACAGATTCATAACTATCTAGCATGTATTCATACATACCAGCCTATCTAACTGATGTGAATAATCATGTAACAAATACATATCATTGACTTGTTATGTGTGCATTTTGTTTCTATTTTGACCTTTTACTGTGATACTATTTTTCATAAATTTATATTTACAGTTAATAAAGTATTCCATAATTTTAGTCATGGTTTCACATGCTCGTTTAGCAGTACCGTGTAGAGAATTCTGGGTCTATTTCCGTTAGCCCGCACTGGCCATGGACAGCTACCCAAACAGATACACAGAAGATCCTTTAAGTTGTCTCATTAATACTTCAATCTTATACACAGAAAGATGGAAATGGGTACTTCCAACCATAGTGTTTCCACTTACAAAGCCCTTAGCTCTTGACAACAGATGATAGCATAAGAACACAGAGGTCTGGAGCTTATTCTAGAGTAATGCCACTAAATGTCATGTCACAGTCACTAAAGACAGTGAGTTCTAGTCCTGCTTTAGGCTTGAAAGCTGGCTGGGTGACCTTGGACTAGTCCCTCTCTCTCAGCCCAATTCACCTCACAGGGTTGTTGTTGTGGGGACAATAGGGGGAGGAAGGAGCATTAGCTTTGCTCGCTGCCTTGAGTTATTATAAAAATAAGAAAGGTGGGATAAAAAAAATTAAAAATAATGTGAAAACTTCATGTGGGAATGCCTTCCATTAAACTGAATGACTCATTTGTATATCCACACTTTGAATTGTACTCCACTTTATTACCATATGAATAACTCCATAGGCTTTTTACAGATAAAGCTTATTGTAATGCTACTTTGCCTATGTTTCAGTTCTTATTCAATTCTATTTTGCTGGTTATAACCTTCCTCTTATACTCCCTTTTTCTCAGTTCTACCTTTTTTATATTTTCCCATTTTCTTGTATATAATTCCTTTTTATTTCCCTCCTGCTGTTATGTCTTTCAAATCATTTCATAAGGTTTCCCAAATATGAAGTGGGTGTTGCCCGTTCTTCCCTTTTCTTGGACTCATTTTGCCAACCCTTCCTTCTAATACATATGAATTTATTAGACAGCAGTAATTAAATATCTGTTTGGTTTACTATTAGTCTTTTGTCTTCCTAGTTTGGCTAAAGAAAGACCTAAGTTGTTTTATATTCTGTATAGCGCTCAGTTAACTATTAGTGCTTAATAAGCGGCAAACAGCAATAACTAAATAGGGTTATGCTGTATATCTGAAAGGGGTGCTTTGACCTTCGTGGAAAAGGCATAAGGTAATGCAGTGCCTCATTTAATTTTACGTTTTAGTGAATGAAGGACAAGGTGAACAACCAATCTGAACTCAAGCACTTGTTTGCCTAACCTGACATATCTTCATGCTAGCAATAGAATAGATTTAAGAAATTTTGACAGATCTGAAGGCATTGTGGAACAAACAGAGCATAATCTTCAAAGCTTTTGTTAAAGTACCGTATTTTTCTGACTATAAGAC